ATGGTATATATGTTAATTCCGTTTTCTTTTTGTAATCCTATTCTTTTTCACGCTTTCATTGTAATTTCCGCAAGCCGCAAAGGGACTTTCATTCAATCCTTCTTTTGCTTGTAATATTTATTTTCTTATGGCACGAGTAGACAACTGTTGGCTCATCCACTCTTTCATGAATCCTTTATGTTCTGTCTGGTACGAAATTCCCAATTACCAACTCTTTTTCTTGACTATGCGGATCCATTGATTACCCCTTTTCCAGTGAACTGTCAATCAGTTGAGTGAAGCCCCCGCTGTATGCCTCTCAGGTGATTCCCAACAATTTCATAATTAAATTGAGTTCCACAAGCCATAACCCACATGGAACACCCGCTGGCCAACCGCTTGGATGCCGAGACCACAGCAAAGTTAAATAATACAAAAAAAAAACCCAAACCCAACAATAAATAAATACAACAAAGAGCCCATCGCTGGCCACCCGTTGCTTCCGCACCACATTGTCCACCCCTAGACCACCAAAACCACCCAAAGCATCAAGCCCCGCCCACTCACCCCTCAACCACTCACCCCACAACCACTTCCGAACAATGACACAATTGTGTGGATTTTTTTTGTACGTATGTGAATGCTTTTCGTGGGGGGCATTACACGATTATCGGTGTTAACTAGACAATAAAATAAGAAATTATCGGATAATTAGCCCATAAAATTAATCGATTTTACCTCTCCTCTCTGCTCGATTGTTATTCGATTGTTTTTTGTTCGCTTGAGTGTTGATTTGTGGTCTCTGTGCTTTGTCGTTGTCTCTGCGGCTGGGTGATTGATTGAATTTTAATTGCTTTTTTGCTTTTTAGTTGATTGAAAAGTTTTCAGCTGCAAGCTGACATTCTATCAAATTTGTAGCTGCCAAAAAATATATGCGAAATTCTATGTTTAGGTTTCTATTTTACAAAAGGCGAGCAAATGATTACTTGGTCCCTTTTTTTTATCATTGAGTTAGGTTCAGTTTTAAGGCAAATAGTCCATGGAGTAGCATGGGTGGATGGATATCTCAGCCGTGTGATTTCTGCGTTTAATAAAAATTTCTCGCTGTCTGCTTTTATGCAAATTTGTTTCCGGTTAAGCAGAATACGACCTTAATTTATGTGCCCCAAAGGGGTGCCACAGCCACAACCACAAACGAGAAACAAAAAAAGTTCAAACACAAAAGTTCAAATGAGGGAAAAATCGTAACATTTTCCGCGAAATTTAAAAAGGAAACTCACAAAATAAACGAGCCTTTACAATTATTTCTTAAAGCTGTGTAAACAACAGCAAAAAACAAACCAAAAAACTGTTAAAAGTTATTCCAAATGCGACCTTCAGGGATGGGCTGCTGGGCTGCTGGCCTACAAACAAACTGAAAACTGAAAACAAAGTTGAAATAATATTTTGGTATTTTTGTTTGCTCTGTACAGAGTGCGAGTATTCCACCGTTATGCGGCCTTGACTGATGGGCGGATGGGCTGGACATGGACCGTTATGCGGTCAGGCAGGTAGGCAATAAGGAAAGAGCAAAAGATGTAAAACAGCTGATGGAGTAACAGTTCTAAGGGAAATTTACGTATGTAGGGGCTTCGTGTTGCTCAGTTCTCATGCATACTTTGTTGTTGAATTTATTTAGTTTGGTATATTATTTGATTATTCATGGATTATTATGTTGGGCACATTTCGCACATTTTGCTCTCGTACATATTTCGCTTCGTTTCTCGTTTCTTCTTTCACTCGAGTGTTGCATATTTTATTTTCATGGCACGCCATGTCCCCGATCCACTCCGAATGCTTTTTACATTGCGTGCTCGACTTTATACATTTTGCGCTCTTTTGCTTATTTATTATTTAGCGTTATTGCACATTGAACAACTTAAACTTTCAAACGCTACCTGCTTGCCGCACCTTTGCATGCGTGCGTGCGTGTGTTGGCCCGCTTCACTTGTATGGGTTGTTATATTGAGGTTGGTGGGTCCTTTCACCGCACACTACAGGGAGTACCGTTGGAGCGAACCGAACAAAACGAATGCACTAAATACACTGAAAGCCACTGACGAACGGCTCGCCTGGCGATGGGCCAAAACCAAGCCAAAGCTCCTTCAAACGATGGCAAACGAGTGCCGCCAGAATTGGAGCCAAAGCAAATGGCGTGGCGAGTTGGAGAGAAAGACAGAGACAGAGAGAGAGAGAGCTTTTTGAGCCTAGCACAGTGTGGCGAATGTTAGATAGCATGCGGCGCGGGCTTCCAGGCGGCTTTCGTTCTCTCTTTCGGGCTCTAGTTTCGAACTTTCCAGTAAGCTCTCTCTTAAATTGCTCTCTTTAAAGGGCAGCATTTTATGGACATTTGTTGGCATATTTGCGCTGCCTTACTTACCCAATTTCGCACCTCACCCACGCTGTTGTTCACAATGGCTCACACGGTTAATTGTCGTTCGCTTTAAGGTGGCCTTGCAGGCTCGAAGAAAAAGCTGACGAAAGTTGAGGGTGGTCCCACACAAAAAACTTGCACGCACGCTGTGAAAGAGCGAGGGAGAGGAAGAGACTCTGTTCAAATAGGCTGCTTCAGACACTCGCCTTGCTTAAGCACTTAGTGCAGCATTAAGTGCCTTGGTTTTGGGATTGTGTGCCCGCTCCCCCCATACATTTACACAACCTCTGCCACTCCTGCCTCTGGTCCTGCTTTCACTCTTCCCTCTACCCGGCTGTCTGTAAAGTTAACTGACACTTACACTTGCACTTCCCTGAAATCAAATGCATTCGAGTTTTGGATTTGGGTTTTGGTTTGGGTTTTTGTTGAGGCAACGGCAGGCAATGTTTGAAGAGGCTTGAAAGCGCCTCTTATGCTCTGCCGAAGCTAACGGGCGATGGAGCTTTGGCCATAATCGAGTGTGAATGGAAAAGGGATTAAGGACTAAACGACCTTTGATCTATAAGCGTTTATCAGTATGAAGTTAGCACGCGGCTTGTTAGAATTTTCGACAACGGGTACATCGATTTTTGTAGTTCTTTGATTTATTCGATTGGTTTCCGAAATACGAAATACAGAATGGACACACCCAACCCTCACCAAACAGACACATTTCTCTTCGAATAACCCAATTTTATTACCAATCCAAGTCCCTGGCACCATTTTCGTCCATCTAACACTTGTACATTAAACGAATCTTGGTCCAATCGCCCTCGGATGGGCCCCAAACCTGCCCCATATCTCGCTCCACCGGCTTGCCATCCACCAAGGCGAGAATTGTGGGCTTGCTGGGGTCCTTGGCGAAGGCGTTCTTTGCATAATGCATAACGCTGTCGTAATCATAGGGCACGTCGTAGGTGGTGGTCGAATTCATGGCCATGAACTGTGACCAGTACTTGCGCGGTATGTTGTCGTACTCAATCTGGACATACTCGTGGCGATCCGGTCGACTCTGCTCGTGGAAGAGACCGAGCAGGTGCAGCGTCTCGTGCTGGATCACAGCGGGCATGCTGAGGCAGTGCTCGTTCAGCAGGACATCGTGGGAGCCAAAGGATATCGGATTATAGCCCACCCGAGTGCCGCACATGTTGGGGGACTTTTTGAAGTACACATAGCGACTGCCGATGCGCGGAGATCCATTCACCTCCTCGAACTTCACGCACGTCTGCTCGTTGAAGCTGGTCATGGCCGTGCGGACATTGGCCACCTCCTGATCGCTGTAGTCCCCGGATATGCGGTAGTATATCCTGTTGCCAGGCCATCGCTGCAACTCCGACTTCAAGGCATTGCGGGTCTTCGCCTCCGCCTGCTCGTCATCCACATGGATCTCGTTGTAGTAGTTCTCGTAGGAATCGATTCCCTCCGATGCCACCAGGCGGGGTCTGGGTACGGCTATAGCTAACACCAAGAAAAGACAACCCAATGGAAACAACATTTCTTCGGTGTGCGTTGCCAAAATTGAGTTCGTCTTCGGTTTTTATAGTCTTTTGTTTCAAATATATTATCAGTTTTATGTACTTTATTTACACTTCTCTCCATGGATTGCACTTTTATCATTTTGCATAGCTTAGCATACATACATAGATACAATAATTACACAGTAGATGCAACCGTCTTTGATATCGTAATGCATTTGGTTCTATTTACACTGGGGACTCGAAAAGGCCTAGCACGCATTTGCATAGATTTCTGCAGTAAGGGAATTTCCATTGCCATTTTCGGAATGTTTTTGGCAAGCTCAAGACATTGTATTTTTCCTTGGTCTTAATTGTTTAATGGGTTATAACAAAATGTATTTAATAGAGTACACGCTGCGAAAACCCAAGCAAAACCCACGCTTAGCTCATCTTTGTTACTGTAACACTATTCCGGTCCGCCACTGTGCATGCACTTTCTGCTGGCCTCTAGTGTGCATGTAAGCGTCCACTCTCCGCTCTCCATATGTTTTAGCGGTGGCTTATCAGTGCTTTCCCAACTCTGAGCTCAAGCTTACTGCTTATTTCATGGATATTATTTTTTCTATTCAGCTGGAGATTGGTCAAGCCTCAAATATTCCAACTTTTGGGCCACAACTATTACAACAAATGAAAATTGTATACTTTTAGGAATCAGTTTCATGCAGTTAGTGTTTGTTGAAATTGAATGGTTTGTAATTGCGACTATTACTGCCAGCAGTGCAGTCTTCACGCACCATCAAACTTATTCTGTACATTTCGTTGGTTGCCTTTCATCGGTGTCACTTGCTTCTAGACAGCAGTGTCTAGGTACTAAGAACTTCGTTTGCAATGTGACCAACTTTTCCTGGACTTCAGTGTCACTTTCTAGCCACCAGTGTGCCGCGTACCATGCAGTTGGGGGTATTGAAGTAAGCTTTCTCCCACTGCGCTTTCGGCTCCTATAGCAACCAATTCCTGATATCAGAGATATACAGACTTTCGGCATAGATTAGAGGCTTCTCTTCTTAACTTAAGTTGGTAGTGGGGCGGATAAACCAATGAACGATTACTGATTGTTAATTACAGTTTGTATATTTGCAAAACTTAGTTCATCATCTTCTCGCCTGTAAACATCACTTAAAAGTCGCTCGGTCGGTCGATTTTTTTGTTGCTTTTTGTATATTTTTTTACATTTTGTTGATTTCTGTTTTTTCGGTCATAAACACTAAATACTCGTTACGCATATAACAAATTTGGGGCCGCGGTGGCGACAGCGCGTGTTCAGAGCAGCTCTGAGGAGTCGCCGGCGATGGCCTGGCCGTGGGTTAAGCTGCTCGAACACGCCGCAGTCGCTGCACGGCACGGGTACACATAATATTATATTAATCATAATTCATACAAAATAGAATAGCAAGAACACATAGTTAAGATAGAAGAAGGCTTCATGCACATATTTTGCAAGCAAAATTCAAAGACAGCATTGCTCTGTGGGTCGCTGGAACTTGGATTTTTGCCACGCTTGCTTGGTGTCTGCTTTCTGTCCACGTGCGTTCTGTCGTTGTGTCAATTCGTTAGACCTTGTCCCGATCCGATGCAGCCAGGATACAGGCACTCTGCTTGGATCAGAAATCAGTTCCTAGTCAATTGGTAACGCTCTCCGTGGGTGCCGGGCCGCAGCTCGTCGTCATCATCATCGTCATCTTCGTAGTTCTCTCTCCATCTCTAAATATACACGGTTCAGACACAGTAGTCGTCGTAGTCGTAGTCGTGGTAGTAGTAGTAGATATTTTGTATGGTGGATGGCGGGCGGTTGGGCAGGCGTGTGATCGATTGATCGAGCGTGTAAGCGATCGAGTGAATTGAGTGTGTGTCGACTCTCGTCCAGTCCACGGCTCTCCCTCTCTAGTGTAGCTCGATGAAGTCGTAGAGCGTCTCCGGCACGGCACCCTCGTAGTGGATATCGTGCCGCTTGATCGTCCGTGCTGCCAGGCACGCCAGCGTTGTGTACTTCATCGGATCGATGATTTTGTGCATGGGCGTGGGGCCCAGCAAGCTCTCGAATGTCTCACCAGCAAAGTTTTTCGTATCCTAAAGGGGATTATGCGAAAGATTAGCAACGTCTGAAGGAAATACCATCATCTATCACTCACCAGATGCGCTCCACCCTCGAGCAATATGTGCGCCAGAGGCTCCACGTACGGCTGCAGTGTGGCCGCCAGATGCAGCGGCGTGTTGCCCGCATCATCGATGGCATTCGGATCGGCGCCCACCTCGAGCAGCGCCTTGGCCAGCGTCGTCGATGGGAACTGGCAGGAAGGATAGCGGCCCGCCAGTGTGCCCTCGCGATAGCAGGAATAATGCAGCGCCGTTCGGTCAAAGCGCACACGCACCTTGAGACGATTCAGCCGATATAGGGCGCCCATCACCTGGAGGCGCATCTCCGGACTGAGGCTGTCCGTGTCCAGCAAAGAGCTGAGCAGACAGCCAATGTGGATGGCACTTATCATGGTGCGACTGAGGGCGTTCGGGTCGTGGTTGCAGTCGTGCTGATGCGCAGACAGCAGCGTTGTGGAGGCGGTGGTGGAAGCGGAGGACGAGGCTGAGGAAGATGAGGAACAGGATTTGCTGGCGGCCAGCAGCTGCTGTTGTGGCTGCTGCAGCTGCTGCTGCTGCTGTTGCTGCTGCTCCAGATTGAAGGCCTGTCCGCGTTCCACCTCCTTGACGGCCTTGTAGAAAATGGTAAGCATGCCATCGGCCTCGATGGGCGGCACGACTCGACCACGCGGCAGCAGGCGTCCCGCCTCGACCAGCATAAAGCTGAAGAGCTCGGCGAAGGAGAGCAGCGACGACTGTGTCATGGGACTGAGCGGCTGCAGGATCTTTTGCTGCATTGTCAGCGCGTACGACCAGAGCTCTATGCAGCGATCGAAGCGTCCAGCGTCGGCATAGTGCGCGCCCCTAAAAGGAGGAAAACAAAAGCTTTAGTAGAGGGAAAACTGCAATCAAGAGATGGCCGAACGCACCTGAATCGAATGTAGTAGCTGGTGTCTGGATGCGTGGGTCCCAGGATGCGCTGTCGTATGACCAGCGCCTGCATTCGCATCTCATCGGGATCGAGCACCATCTCCTCCAGCTCCTCCACGCTGGTCACCTCGCGCACCATCTCGTAGGCTGGCACTGGCTCCTGCACCTTCTTGGACAGGGGCGGCTCCACATTGCGCTCCTCGAGCGCTCGTCGCCACAGATTGAGTGCCGCGGCCATGTCTCGCTTTCTGTCCACATATGTGGCACCGAGCAGCTCCAGGGCATGGATGCGCGACTCGCGGCTGACGCAGGGCAACGTGATCAGGTGCTCCACAATGGGCATGTGGCCGGTGACACTGGCCGCCAGCAGCGGCGTCATTCCATAGTAGTCCACATCCATGGTGGCGCCATGCTTCAGCAGCAGCTGCAGGATCTGCAGGGAGCCCGACTCGGCGCAGTCGTGCAGAGCTGTGTTACCCTTGACGCTGCACCGATTGACATCCGCATTGAGCGAGAGAAGGTACTGGGCAATGCGGTAGTGTCCCTTGTAGCAGGCGATCATCAGGCAGGTGTGTCCATGTCGATTCGCCACCTCAAAGTCTGTCACAAAGAAAGTCAAAGGATTAGCAAGCTGCCAGAAAGGAGTCTCCATGTCCAGTACTCACCCGCTCCGTGATGCACCAAATACTTGACTATTTCGTAGTGTCCATCGAAGCAGGCCGCCCGCAGGGGCGTTGAATTCGTTCTCGTCGTGCTGTTAACATTCGCCGCCCGACGTACCAGCATCTTGACAATGCCCAGGTGTCCGGCTGCGGCGGCACACCACAGCGGCGGAGCGTCCTCAATGGGCTCACCATCGAAGCTCACGGATCCCACCTGCTCCACATCGGCGCGACACTTTGTCAATAAATATTCTACAATATCGTAGTGTCCGTTGCGGCAGGAGATGACCAGCGGTGTGGCTCCGTTCACTTTAGCCGCAATGAGGCTGCCCACCTCGCTGGAGCTTTTGTTGTACAGTGTGGCCTGTAAGCAATAGAGCAAAGAGTTAATTGTGGGCTTAGGCCATCAGTTCATTTACGACTAGAACTTATTAGAAAATCCATTAAATTGGTGTGCAGTGAAAATCCAATAAAGTGAGCGTCTTTCAAGAGCGGTTCAGGGTTGGGTTCGGGCTCGTACACCCTGAGAGATTGTTTGACTTTTGAATTGGAAATATTATTTTAAAACTTGGGTTTAAACTCTAAGCATTGGAATCTAGCAGAAAAATATGTTTTATTCGATTGATTAAAACAACTTTTTCGCACTTTAAGCCCCTTTTTTCTCTGTGTGCATAGAATCATATGATGCCGTAATCTGGTTTTTAGGCTCTTCTAACATTCTGCTTTAAAGCAGAAATCCGCTTACAAATCCGAATTCGAATTTACATTTATCGCGTTTCCAGCGTTATCTTTCTTAAGCCGGTTCCCATGGTTCAAGGTTGTGTACTATATCAAAAGAGTTTGCCGATAACGACAATAACAATTCCTGAGAGTTGGCTTACACTTTGTGTAAACAATTTGTTAATCCCATCAGCTACTGCAGTCTGCTATCTTTGTCAATACGTTGCTCCTATCTGTCGCTTATCAGCTATTGGTTTCTGTTATTTATCTGCCCAAAAGCTTGGCCTTGAGACAAATCCTAATCTACCAAAACAACTGCCATTACGAACGATTTAATCAATGAAAAAATATAGAGAGGAATAATAATAATTTATAATTGCTGCCAGGCCATATACAAAAAATATTCTATGACGAACAATGGCAACAAGTGCTGGGGGGATCGATCGCACTGGGAGAAGAACCTGAGCGCAGAGGATAACGAAATGGGTGGGGTGTAAGACACACACGAACAGAGACAGAGATAAGCCACAGCACACACGAGTAGCTAAGCGGCCGAGCGAGAGGGAGGTGGGGAGAGGGCGAGCAATCAGCTGAGAGCTCTTCCAACTGCTGTTGTTGCCGTCTGGCATGCTAATTATATTTCTATTTTATTGGTTTCGCTGCTGTTGCGCTGTTGTTTCTTGTATTTTTTCGCATTTGCTCTCATGCCAATTTCAAATTGAAATTCATTTATGTCAAACGTGTTTCATTTTCGCTTTATGCTAATTACGATGTTTGCCAGCGCGTGCAAGAGGGGGTAGGAACGCGCGTAGATTAAAATAATATGTATGAATGGGGTAAGAAAACAACAATTTCCATTTAATTGTTCACATATTTATTTATTAATCTCTGACCAGAATTTGTTGATTAGCACAAAGAAAAAACAGGAAAACACAGCGTGTTCTTTGGTGAGATATTCACATCTGTACGGGATTCGCTATAAATAATGTGTCCGCTCAAGACAGCTTTTACTTTCACAGCCAGAACTAAGTGTACTTTCAGGAAACAGGAAATCCGATGCCCCCAACCATTCAGCTTCAATTATAACATTCCCCGACAGAGACGACAAACCAGAAGTTCAGGCACATGCGAAAAAGGAGATAGGCGGCAAGTGTAGAAGACACAAAGGCAAAGAGCAGGTAAAAGATGCCAACGGAAGAGAGGCAGCAGGGGTGCAGGGGGGGCAGACACCGGCAAAAGACCTTGTGAATGCCGTGGCGCTGCTTCTAGTTTTTATTGAAATTCTATTTCCTTCACGCTTTCTTCACAATCTCTCTTCTCTCGGATCTGTCTCTCGCTCTAAAAGTTCTTGCCAAAGCCAAGACGTATTAGTGATCAGGTGAGATCGCGTCTACAATCAGAGACCCCTCTCTACCTTCCCTCTCTTTCATCTTCTTTTTGCCAAAGAGAATACCAAGAAATCTTCATCGTTGACTTCCTGCTTTCTCTCAAAAAGCCTTTTACTTTTGGCATTGGGACAATCGGCTTTGTGCCGATCTTTAAACGACGCCACACGACCCGCAGCGGCATTCTTTGTCTTAGCCCATACATTCTCTACCACTGCCTTTTTCACACCCTCCTCGTGTCTCGTGGCGCGTGACATGCAAAAAAAGCAGAAAACTAGACCAAAAATATAAAAGAAGAAAAACAAAAACAAATTAAAGCCACATTTTTTGGCAACAAAATTAAGCGGAAAATTTATTTTCAAAATAAACGAATATTGAAATGTCTTTTGGGCCAAGGAAAAGAAAACGCAGCGCAACGAAAACGCCAAACGTAAATTGAACAATGAAAATTACGCACTTATTTTAGCCTGCAATTAACAGAGAGCGGGGAACCATGGGAACTTGAAGATACCCTTTAAATAATTAAAATGGTTTGGGATTTACATAAGCGATTTAAATATACAGTAGGAATGATATTTGGTGGTTTGGTAGATAATCAAGGAGTTTTTTTTTACATTTCGCATATTTAAGTCACAGTTTTCTTGTGGATAGTCCGATCCAGCGACCGGATCTCTATATCTCTATAGAACTCTATAAATATATCTATGAAAAAGCAAATTACTTTTACCCTTTTTCATATCTGGTATATATCTCTGTGGTATACAGTCATCCACAGTTTGGCTCGTCCATCCGTCGAGTCATCTTCCATTGCCTTGTCGGCTACTGAACTTTTCACTTTCATTGGCAGGCGGCATGTGCCCCAAAGCGGGGGAATCTGTTGATCATCATCAGCAGCAGCAGCAACAGCTGTTCATTCTCTTCTCTTCCGCTTTCTGCTCAATTATGATTTAAGCTTTAACTGCTGTGAATCAGCCTTAGTCACTGTTGTTTTCCCTGTCTACCCACCCGGAGGAGGGAGGGTGACCTTGTTTCTTAAGCCCGGTGCCGAAAGCTTCAAGCGAAATCAAAAGTCAATCTGACAAAGGCAGAGAGGCGGCCCCTGTGGCACACAAAGCAAATGGCACGTACACCCAGGGGGGGCATTGCGCGGCACCGGATATGGCAACGGATAAAGCAACGGAGAAGACATGGATGGAGCTGGAAAAGTCAATCAATTGTGTACAGGTCGCTCGACATTATGCGATAATAGATATGACCCCAAACGATTCTGGTTCAGCGGCCTCAATTTACATTCAAGCAATTGAGCATAGGAAATGATGGGAAATTCTTCACTTGGCTTTTTTCACTTTCATTTAATTATGCTAAGTACATGGGGTAGATTTTGAAGTAGAATAATAAGCAACGGTGGGAAAAATGGCAAAAAGATAATTGCATAGAACAGCTAGAAAACTTTTAGGAAAGAAAAGGGTTCAGGCCTTTGTAGTTGATTGATCAAAGAATACTTGATACATTTATAAATATGCATATGTGCACAAGTGGTTTTCTTTCAATATAATTCTAGAATTATTGCATTCATTATTGCACATTTCTGTGGCTATGCACCTACGCTTGAATGCACATTACTTGTCGTATATTTTAATTAACCAGCTAACTAACTAAGGAAAAAATCCCCTTCCTTGACTAATTAACTAAAAATGTATAGAATGTCTTTCCAAAAAGTCTTGAATCCATTGAGACTCACCAGGAATTCCCCAAAAACATCAACAAAGTTCCCCCCGCAAAGGTGGGAAATTAAAATGAAAGCGCAAAACGTTGTGAAGAAAGAGACATCGGTAGGGGACAGAGGGTATGGCAATGCAATAAACCAAGTAAATTTATGACTTAATTTCA